TGAATTGTGTGTCTTTTTACACACACCGTAGCTTTCAAATAAAACCCCTAACTTTTTTGCAATTTTCCAAGCCAAAATTCTGTTTGTCAAGTTTCATTCCAGCTCTTTCTGCACAGTTAAAAGTTCCTCAATTTTATGGTTACAAAATTGCTGACAAACACAGTTGTATGCAGTGGTGTGTATCAGTTATGAGCATTCAGTTCATTTTTTCCTTTTAAGGTCATTCTTTCATTAAGTTAGTTTCACTCACTGCTGTTTATGATACCAACACTTTCTTCCTTATTTCCTTCCTTCCTTTTCCCTCTTAAATGGCATCCATTTCCCAAGGATGGTATCTGTACTGAAGTTCATTGTCAGATTTGTAGTTTATCAGTAGGAACTATTCAATTGTTTTATTTAATCCATCTATTTATTTTATTTCTACCAAGACACTGATCTTCTCTCAGTTTTAATGGGCACTGTCTTCTGCCAAACTCGCTTTTGAATAGCCTGGGTTAAGCTTATGTTCCCAATCAGGCAGTCGACTTTTCAAAAAGAGGATGTAACAGCTTCTTTGTCTGGAAGAGAGGAGAGAGGAAGAGAGACAAATTCTTGTTTCAGGTATAGACATTTCCTGCAAATTCTGAGTGCAGTTAGACTACTTATTCCCTTATCCCACTGGCTGCCAGTAGAAACTGATTTATTTACATTAGTGGTCTACTCTTGGATTGAAAGCCTTCCATTGTTTGGCTGAGCTGGTATTTAGTTAACACTTGTGTGCTGCCTGTGTGCAGCATAACCAGCTATGGAAATGACCATATTGCATATAACCGTCCATTGTCTCCCTCCTCGGTCTCACTCCAGCTCCAGCATGTGTGTTTGGATTGTAATGTTCCATCTGTGGACTAAATATTTCTCTTAATCATACAATATGACTTTTTTAAAAACTTAGATGTGCATGCGTCTCTGTATTGCTTCCAGAGTTGGCAGGCAACATCAGCATTCCATAGCTGTCTGAGTGAGCCAAATTTGGAAGCAGAGTAAATTCGAGTAGTCTGGCTCTGGATTCATAAAGATAATGCCTCTGGCAGAAAGGGCGTCCATCTTGTTCAGAGATGTCCCTTTAGGATTGCCTTCAGATTTCTCACTAGCTGTCATGGTCTGTGCCTTCAAGAGAAGAGGACTGAGTGTGATGCATCAGTAAACTTTTTAATTACTGCAAGAAGGTGTTGCCTCTGAAATTTCTTTGTTGGAGCATGCAATAAGGGGCAGACAGAAGTGGCAACTTTAACATGAGCAACATATCCAAACACCTCTACACTGCCCTATTATGTGAAAATATCCAAAAGCATCACTGCCTAAAGGTATAGAGCAGCACCACAGGGCAACTGGGAAAGTGGTAGTAGTCATTTGAGCATTGAACATGCTTAAGCACAGCGCTCCCCTTCCTTTTCCCTCCCCACACATAAAAAAAATAAAATGCAAAAGCTCTGATTCTGATTAGTTTGAGGATCTCTATGGCTTCTTGATTCAGACCTCCTCCTTAATACTAATAAATGTTAATAGTGGTTTAATATGGTAAAAAATAACTTCTGCCAGCTTCTTTCTTGGATATGTCTCACTGCCCTTTTCCTGCAATTTTGATGGAGGTGGAATACTCTAGAAGATGTCTCAGGCAATTAGTATTTTTTCCTAAAGCCAGCATGGTTGTTCTATAATCAACTAAATTTTGTGATGGACGCTACTGAAGTCTTGGGGTTCCTCAGTTCTCAATACTGAGAGGTTCCTCAGTTCTCAATACTACTACATGCACTGCCTGCAGTAGGAGGCGGAGCAAGAGAGATTTCTCAAATCCTTTGTATGTCCTCTATTTGAGAAGTAGGTGCGCAACTTTTCCACCAAGATGGAGCCATGAGCTGCACTCCCTCTGTACACATCCCACCTCATATTCCTGAACATATCTCTCAGATGTTCTGTCCTAGGAGGAGAGAGAGAGCAAATAGTTTTCCTCTGTTTGGATCAGGAAATGGATGTTTGGCAGGGACTGGTGTCCGTTTGTTCATCTCATCTCCACCTGACTACCTGCTACTTGTTAAAGGAAAACACTGTGCAGTTAATTTAACAAACCCTTTCAACGCAGCAGAGAGGAGGCAATCAAGACACAGCAGGGTGGGGAAAACAGAAAACCATTGTCTTGTGAATAGTACTGCAGAATACTGCACTTGGAGCTAAAGAGTCTGACTTTTGGAGACATGAGAATTGAGGCAAGTGGGGAAAGTCATCAGCATGTCACTCTTACATTGCAAATGTAAGACAAATGACTGTTATAGTGTTTCCTTCTGCATCAGCCAGACTAGCCCACTGCCTTTTGTATTAGTGTGGGGTTTGAAGTTTTTGTTTGTTTTTCTTTTTTTGTCTGAGCCAAATGTGCAAGGAACTACAGCAGGAGCTGTATTTCCATTGCATGTGTGGCTCAATCATGTGGAAGAGTAAGGGTGCGAGGTAGTCAAAGCTATGGATCTTTTGAGGAGCATTAACAGTGCAGCTCCTTAATTCTAGACTTTTTATTTGTGTATATGATCATTTTTTCTGAAGTTGTAGTCTCTCTTACTTCCTTTGCTTTCTGAAGTAAAATACTCTTTTAGAGTTTTGTTACACTAAAGTTACCGCAATACAAGGCAGAATTCAACTCCAAGAGGTGTTTGCTTTGATAACTTTGACTGCCACAGGAGCTTTGTGAAACATCAGTAAGCAGCATGGAAGCTAGTTTAATATTACACTACTGTTACTATAAAATATAATCTCAAATTATTTCAGGCAGAGCATAATAAGAGTAACTATGGAAACTTTGCCTGAAGACTTGAAAGTATAGGGCATCTGGTAGGCTCACTCATTTGTAGGCAGGAGAGAATTCTGGGTTATGGTTTGGATTAAGGAGGAAAACTGGTAATGAGTAGAGGAGCTTGGTGCAGCAGGGGCTGCACCTTAACATTACGTCTGAGTGGTGCATGTATGTTATGGCCTTCTTACCCATGTTGGAGAACTCACATATTTTTATAGAAAAATTGATTTTTCTCAACCAAGATAGTCTGGGGTTATTTCTTCTGCCTGGTTTTTTAGTTGAAGTTTTGGTTGGTTTGGGTTTTTTGAGGTGTTGTGTTGTTTTAGTTTATTTGTCAGAGTTTTTTAAGGAAGTGGAAACTTCCATAGGAAAAAAAAATGGCTTACTCAAACATATCAAGAGAGAGGGAGGCAAAACAGTCATGTGTGTTTTGGTTTTCTTGTTTTACTTTGCTTTTTAACATCTGACTGAGTATTTTGAGCTGGATTAATTATTGGTCTTGAAGAACAGAAGCTAGGGCTGATGAGGGCGATCCTACATCCTGGTCTCTAAGGTTACAGTTTTACTATCACATTATTTCATGTTTCTATTAAAAACCTTTAATGCTATTAAGAGAAGCTCAGCAACTTTGCCTGGGAGGAGGAGAACATGAGAGACCAGGACTGTTCATGTTGATACAGGTGTTCAGAAGTTTTGGTGCCCAGCTTGAAGGTCTTACTAGTCAGCTGACCTTGAAAATGTGACTTCTGGTGCCTTTTTGGCACTCTGGATTTGACTGTTCTGTTCACAGACTGCAGGTATGTGAGAGCAGTGTATTTCTAGTGCATTCATTATGTGGAGTCTTCTATTTTGTTTTGGTTTTGTTTAGCTCTGGCTTAGGAACAATGGTTTTTTAACTTTACAGTATCTCATGTAATAAAGCATGTTTCAACCTGCATGGAATGTGGCTTTCCATCAATGTGGAGTGACTCATTTTTCGTAGCGGTTTGGGCAGAGAGCTGCATCAGAAAGTATTAAGCATTAAAATCTATGAATAAACTTCCCTCTAGAATTTGCAAATTCTGTGCTGGCATGCTTTTTCTGGTCCAGAAGGTGCATAAAAGTCAAAAGATTTGATGGGTATTGCTCAAAACCTATTAACAAAATGTTGAGCTCTGGTACTTCTTAGGGAGGTTTCAGTGATCACTAAACAAAAAGGGACAAAATATCTTCCATCTCTGTCTTCCTTTCTATACACACAATCATTTCAAGTACAGGGATTGAACGAAGTCTTTGAAAAAAAACAGGAAGTCTGTACAATACAAGCTTCATTTCAGGTATGCTGTAATTATCTTTAGGTTCCTGGATGGAACAAATTTCATTTCTGTTACTTTTTAAAGAGAGAACCTGGAAACCTGTGGCCCTTTGTTTTTGTCTTCTGTATGTCAATAAGAACAGATACAAATACTCCAGCTCTGAATGTATAGCCTTACAGGGGACAAGGAAACTAGGTAATTCAGGCATGTGAGAGTTTTAGGTAACACTGTCAGCATAACTATCTTGCCTACTTGGCAGTATTTTTAGATGAGGCCACTTTGAGATTAGCTAAGTGACTTAATTTAGCATTTCTTGCAATAATTCCTTCGTAAGATGTCCTTATTTAAGACATCTGGAACTGATTGTAGAGTTCAAACATCCTCACATGCCCTGTAGAGATGTAAATAAAACCAGAAGTGAGATAATGGTCATACCATCTACAATGGAAGAAAATGCCATCTGGTGCCAGAGCAGAGTTAAAAAAAGTTTGGACTGTCTGGGTTCAAGCACCAGCTAACAAAGAGGGTTGGGTGCTGGTAGGGTCAGTTTCAAAGGCAGACATCCCAGTACAAGGACAGCCTTTTTAAGGCTAAGTGCTCTGTCAGACTTTGCTCCTATTCAGGAAATGTGTTTGTTATTAACAAAACTACTCATAGTCCTTAATTTTATTGTTCTGAAGACTCTAGAGTCATACATTTTGATAGTTTGTCCTTCAAGTTTTGGATTAAGTTTTTTCAGGAATTGATACTTTGAAACAGAAACTAAATAAGATTATAGTTTACTGGACTTGTGTGTTTGAAATGACTCAGAAGAAAGTTCTGTCTTTAAGCAGTTCAGTTTATATGCATGGCCCATCTCACTTATTTCATCTGTTTTTTCCCAGTTCACTTCTTCGCTATGGTGGAAACCTCTCCCTTCAGAGTGCCATGAGTGTCCGGTTCAACAGTAATGGGACCCAGCTGCTGGCACTGCGTCGGCGCCTTCCCCCAGTCCTTTACGACATCCACTGCCGGCTGCCTGTCTTCCAGTTTGACAACCAGGGGTACTTCAACTCATGTACTATGAAGAGCTGCTGTTTTGCAGGTGATCGTGATCAGGTAATAAGCAAGTGATGTTGTCCTGAGTCTCCAGAGTTCCCATGAGTATTTGAGAACACCTCTGTAAGGGTGGCTTTTTTCTGATTCATGAGATAAAACAAGAGACAAGACACATATAGGGTTCTTCAGAACTGTTTTGCCATGTGGGCTGTGAAAGAAGGAAAACAAATAACAAAGTACATAATAAATTTTACCTCTTGTTTGATGTAATCTAATACTTACTTGGAAGATAATATTCAGAAGGAAAATATTTGCAGAGGCTTTTTGGGTTCAATTAATATGATGTTGTCTACTCATCCACATATGATAAGGAAGCATTTACCTTGCATTTCAATATTGCTACTGAGTGCAGTAGAGGCAATGCCACAGAATATAAATATTGTGGATTTATAGAGTTACTGATTCTTATTTCAAATTACAGTGTTTCTCTTTTAATGCAGTACTACTGGATCAGGTAGGATAGGTGTTCGTAGCTCAGTGTTCTGTAAGTGATGATGACAGATGCTTAGGAAGGAATAGTCTGGTGCTTTACTGAAGCAGGACTTTGTCCCTACTACTAATCACAGAGAAATAGGTCACATATAAAGTGGCTAACAGCAATTCATGTGATTCTAGAGCCCAATATTGTCTTTGGACAGTTGTATATCTGATAACCACTAACACTGTGTAAGGACAAAAAATGTATTTTCAAGCCATGATAGTACAGAACTATGATCCAACAATTTCTTTGCTGTCATCAGCAAAATTCCTGCAGTCAGAATTTGATCATTAATTCTATTGCTGCTGCTGCAGGAGGCAGAGTTGAGCTTCTTTCAGATTGCAAGTAGGAAATACGTTTACATCTCTGAACTTGAGCAAATGTTTCTGAGTTTTGCATAGTTTTCGACAGAAGGAGCGTGAAAATGTGATAATGAAACCATCTTTAGAAAAAAATTAATGGTTTACTATAAAGAATGGGAAAACACTTGTATTGTTTAAGAAGGAAACCACTGACAATTTGTGGTTCATTATTCTTCTCCTCTGGAACTCAGTGTAGACCTGTGTACACTCCGATGTATAGTTTAACTTCTCATCTGCTACTGAAGATGTAGATAAAAGCCCTAGTATGTGTTACTCTGCTTTATGAGCCATTTTCTTATGGGTGTGGTATTATTTTAACAGGAAGAATATATCTGTTCTGCACCAGGTTGATGCAATACTTCAGGAGCCTGCATTTTTAAAAAACTGGGTATTCTGGTGGCTTGACTGACTTTCTGTTCAGACAAGTAGCAGCACATAATGCTGCTAATGAGTTGGAAATCAGAGCAAAAGACATTTATATTGTCTTATAAAGCTATGTGAAGCTAATAGGGAAGATGAAGTTTAATATGGAATGTTAGAGAGATGTGGAATTTGACATTTAGTCACAGGCTCACAGTCCTCTTCTAAGGAAGGAAAAAAGATAATGATGTCAGAAAATGCCACACATGCTTCAACTCTATATGTCTAGAACTGTCCGGTAATGTTCAAATTCAGTGACTAAGATTGTCAGCACTGTGGGTAGTCCTTAAGGACTGCCTTTTACAGAGAACCCAGTTCCAATTCCAGGTGTATCAAGAAAAGAAGATTAGAGTTGGAATTGACTATAAGATAGAGAAAATGAATAAAAAAATTGCAATATTTTTTGAGTTTTGCTCTTCTATACAACTAGTATGCTTTTGCACAATGTATGTGAGTCTTCACCCCTGCAAATCAGAATTCATCAAAAGAAGAAATAAATCTGTATCCAATTTAATCTGGTTCTAGTCTGCTCTCTCTTTTGCTCTTGATGTCCTATGCCTTAATAAAAAATGTCTTTTATTTGAGATACATGCAAAGTAAGCTTCATAGAATTCCTTGCTTGTATTTCCTTGTGGGATCAAAACTTTGTGTGGGCGAAGGCTTATTTTAAATGATCTAAGGATAAGAAGGTTGTTTTCAAATTGTGAGTGGCACTTGTGGTAGGAAGGCTTCTTCAGCAATATTTTCACATCGCACTTCTGATGTTCCCTGTCTTCGATTTTTCATCTTTATTAAACTGCTGAGTTAATTTTTTTTTCTCTTTTAAGTTGTCTTAACTAATTAGGTTTTAATCCTTTACACAGAACCTAGTAATTTAAAAATGTGACTCTCCTGTGTTCAAAATTATGTATTCACTGTTATGTGTTGTCTGCACAGGTAGTTCATCTCATAATTTTGCATTTCTGTTCTATACTTTAACTCTAATGAGGAAGGGATGTCCTTAACTCAGCAGTGCTTAGAATGCAGTTGCACTGCAAAAAAAAAAACAACTGCTCAGAGGGAGAGGCCTTTCATCCAGTAGAGGCCTTTCATGCAGACCTTTTACTGATACAACTTCCTAACTTTGCAGCAGCACTTACTTCTTTTTCTGGGTTAATGACTTGTATTGGCACTCAGAGGGCTCAGAGCATTTGAATGTGATGTAAGGAAGGGATCAGATGGTGGGTGAGACTCAATTCCTCATAGAACTACAACCTTTGCTAATATTTCTCTGAAGTTTGTGCATAGAAAATGGTTTACTCAAAGGAAGTTTTCTCATAAATCATGACCATCATGGTTTAAAAACCTATAACTCTTAGTTTTGGGTGAGCCTTTGTAAATAACACCATGTTGCACATGGAGCTGTTGGATTCTAGTATGGCAGAAATGAGCAGATTTTGAACTGCAAACTCACAACATAAGAGTTCTCTTGGAGATCACCCTTTTATCTTAAGAAATTGAATACTTAGGTTCTCATAATTATCAGATGTGTTACTCTTACTTTGAATTTAACACGCGTGTGTTAAATTAATACAATTTCTTTGCATAAATAAAGCACAGACTACTAGTTGAGGAACAGTTTGATTGTTTTGTCTGTTGATGGCAGTTAGACTCTATACTAATCTTTTCAGTATCATTTTTTTAGTGCTCGCAGATTGTGACAGGTGCTCAACAGGACTTGGATCCAGAACTCCCAACTTGTTACTCTAGAGGGAAGGTGTGCAGTAAGCTGTATACCATCTCCTTTTATTGGAGCATCTCTGATGCAAGTGGATTGAAATCTCTTAGCAAAAAATTGTATACCAGTAATGCTTTATGGTACAAAATGCAGAAAGATTCACTTGGTAATGCCAATGATCTTCTTGGTTTTTTAAGTTTAGAAGAACGCCTTCTGAAGTGCTTATATGGTTTTGAGGTATTTTGGGACACAAACTGAGTGACAGGGGTCTTAAAGAATGAACAGCTCTGTTTCTTTTTGTGGCCTTGCAAACTATCATTTTCCTCCAAAAGCATTATTGTCCTAGTCCTTGCGAACCTCATTTGAAAATCAATGAACAGTATATATGAGCACTTTTCCTAAGAATACCACAGCCATACTTTTCTTTTTTCTCGCAAAGAGAAACAAAGCCTGTGAGGCACTGTTTAACTGGTGTTTTATTTGCACCCACTTATAACTGCCTTCATTTGCTTCCCTCAAACTCTCTCTTTTGTCTGTGTCACTAGTGTAATGACCTCATTCACATGAAACTGATTTTTTTTATTCTTTGAAGGTGAGCTCTGATGGTGGTAGATAAACAGGTTCAAAATTGTATGGCATTTGCATTGTCCAGGAGCTCACTTGAGTCATACAGCTGTGGAAGGGAGGAAGGGTAATGTAGGCTAGATGGATCAAGCATGACTCTCAGCTTCCCATTGTCTTCGTTGGCTGCAGAGATTTGTGTGAGACTGTAATTTATCCATCCTTGTGGTATGAGCATCCAGGTCCAGAATTTTAAAAGCAGTTTATTTATGCATCTTAGTCCCCCTGTCTCAAGCCTAATGTGCATGACTTTACCCTAATGTGCACAAGGGTTTGATTAAATACAGATATTAAATATGTGAGAATCTCAAGTCATGCTAGGGTGCTGGGCGAGTTTCTGTTCTTGTCAGCATTAGAATTTGGGAAATGTTGATTAAATGCTAAGGATTTTTAGTTACTAGACTGGTATAGAAAATATCTTCTTGTATCTGAGGATACAGAAAGTATTGAAGGGCTTCAGGTACCCAAATGCATTTTTAAGTGGAGGAGGCTCAGAGGCCATAGTGATGGGCAGCAGCAAAAACAGGCCCAGAAAAAAAACCCACAAAACAGAATCACCCTCCAAACTAAAATAGACCAAAAGCTTTTCTTGCTCAAGAATTGTTACCTGTGTCACAATGATGAATGCTGTCTACTCATTCCTTTTTTTCCCCGTGTAGATAATATGAGGCTCTATAACACTTGTGGTTGTAAAATCAACTGCCTATTGCCTGCTTTAAAAAAGAGGGGGTGGGGAGAAATAACTTGTACCCTGTGAATCCAACAAAAAGTGGCTTGACTCTGGCATACCCTCAGACATTACATCACCACTCAGCCTTTTCTGTTGACATTACACTGGTATAGGAGAGTTTCAGGAATGCACTGCTCATGGTACTGCAAGACTCCTCCAACTCCCTATAAAGTTACAGCCTTCATTATGTTGAAATCTGTGTTCTAAATAGCCCTGGTTAGGGACAAGGCAGTTTTTCACAGGACAGAATTATTACATGAATGTAACTCTTCCAAGAACAAGGTTAGCTGTATAGGTGCCAGTGGTCTTGTATCATGGTATATTGCCTTTGTAAAGAAATAAAACTTTTCTTCAGTGGTGTACTTTGTGTCATCTAAATTAAAGGTCTTTTATCTCGGGAGGTAGTGCTTATCAATGTCTAGATTTAAGAACTAAAAAGAAGAAAGGGAATTATTCTTTTAGAGAATGTATTGTGGGCTTCCTGTGCACAGAAGACTTCTTAATGAATAGTAGCTTATTGCAGTCAGCATTTCTTAAAATATGAAAAGCGCTTGGTGTGCAAATATGTTGCTGTGCTTGGATAGAAAGAAAATCAGTGTCTTACTCTGTCTTAAATTTGGTTTCTTCCAAGAATTACTATTGAGATTGTATTTTGCTTTTTGCTTCATCTAA